GTGCAGGAGTCTTTCAAATCATTCCTTTATCGCTGTTTGGCCAACTGTGCTTCTAAGGTCCCAGTTCACACCAAAATGTGGTGTGGGAAACCGTTCAATTTGCATTTCCCGCACTGAGTTCAAAATGCACTGCAGTTGCAGTCTACAGCGCGTATCAATGTTAATTTAATGAATCTCAAATGCAGGTCACAAACACATTGCAATAGAAATATAAAATGAATAATAATAATGTCACAGTCAGTCAGGTGTCAGACTCGGAGGCCAGTAGCTATAGCCAGGGCTGCTGTTAGAAACCACGAGGCCCCATACAGAAAACCTGGCAGGGCACCACCACTAAAAAAAAAAAAAAAAAAAAAAAAAAAAAAAAAAAAAGCTTCAGTTATGAATGAACACAGTGAGTAATTGTTACAGATCCCTCATTGTGTTCATTCAGGAAAGGAAAGGCATGGTAAATGTGACATAATTAGCAGACCCTTTCCCCAGTCTCCATCCTGAAGGATCCTATTGTGTGCTTGCAGATGCCGGTGGAATGGAGAGGAGGGGAGCCGGAAGCACTGAGGGGTGGGGGCACACAGAGGGGCCTGGGCAGCAGGGGGATACGTATGGTGCACAGGGAGGGTGATGGGTGTGGTGGGGGCAATTACTGGAACTGACCCGCTGTATGGCTCTCTCTGTTGCAGCTAAAAAGCCAGCTGGAGGAAGAGGAGAAGAAGCCACCCTCTCTGCCCACATCTGATTTAATCCTGCTGCCTGGGCTCCCCTGCTGGGCTGGGCCCCATACAGGAGAACTGGTGGTACCCTCTTATCCACAGCCCTGGCTATAGCAGCAGAAAAGCTCCCACCAACCAGCAGGATGGTATACAAACAGGTCACCCTGGCAAATGACACAGGTTCACCTGAGGTGCGAGGTCAAATCACTAACCAGTATTCACCAGAGCTCCTGATGGTGGAGATGGGTTTTGCTGCATGTTAGTACCAGGTTGTGGTCCTCGGGATCGCCTCACCAGGAGGTGAACAAGCCAGGGTCCAGTAGCAGATATAGCAAATGGGGATCAAACAGCAGCATAGCCAGTAAACAAGCCAAAGGTTGGTCACAGATGGTTACAGTTTGGGATCATGTGGCAGTGGAGTCAAGGAACAAGTCAAAGGTCAGTAAAGTATGGACAGCAGCAGGAGAGACAAGAGCGAGATATTGGCTGGAGAAGGCACAATAATCTGGCAAACAGAAAGTGATGTTCAGCATCTAAGGTAGCTCAGTGGGAAGAGTTACTGCCAGACTCTGCAGTCCCAGGTTCTAGTCCAGGGCCTGACAAATAATGTGTAGGAGTGAAAATCAAGTTTGCCACATTTCAGGGAGAAAGAGGACAGAAAAAGAAGAAAAATTACCTACAATGCTTAGGGACTTTAAAGGCACTGTACTTAAGTCACAACACAGTTAGAAATAACAATATGTTTATTAAATTCCATTAAAATAATTGGTAGAAAAGTACATAACCACCATAAACAAATGTATACTTGTAATTACACATCAACTTTCTTAAAACCATACCAATACATGGCTAATTTTATGTCCCGCTGATAAATGCAGGCGATTTTTGCAGTTCAGAGCTGCTTCATCAGGGACCCCGTGGGTTTGTCTAAAAAGTTGAAAATATATTTTTTAACTGTACAAATAATATTATAATTAACAAATTATCTGAACAAAGTATATGATAATGGTTTACAGCTTACCAGAACATCAGTTAAAAACTTAATAACTGCTGTTTCTTGAGAGGATGTCATATATATAGGGTCTCAAAACCCCTCCCCTAGAAGGTACAGGAAAGGCAAGCCAGACATCGAGCCAAGTAGAGGGGAAGGAAAGTAAAGGCTGTGACAATTTCGCACACACCTGTCACTCCTACATATTATTATTCGGTTTCTATTGGGTTGATTTTTTCATGGCTATATAATATTCCTTATTTAATAAAATTTTATTTTCCTTTTTCATTTAATTGATTTTCTTTTTTGGCCAGCATCGGCTTGCCTTTTGCAGCATTGATAGTTGTCCACCTTTTTCCTTCTTTTACACAGTTTGGATTCCCTGCTAAGGATGTTCCTGGTACTGAGAATCTTTTGGCATGTGATCCTTTGATGGTGTTGATTCTCCTTGCTTCTTCAACTGGGCTCCTTATGTCTCTACAGCTCTGGAGCGTGTTTGAAGTGACATTTCAGGGGCCATATCATGCTGTTGGTCATCCTAGGGCCTATTCTAGTCCTCTGAGACTCACTGCATTACTTTTATTTCTATAATGACTATCCTTGTTGATCCTGCAATCTTCTTTATTTGGAACATTATTCTTTTTGTGTTGGTAAATGCTTAAGAATATGCCCTCAGCCTTTGGCTGGGAGACCGCACCCACACTTATCTCTAGACTCCGGGATTGAGTTCATAAGTATTTTTCTACTTATTCTGGTGTTGCTCTTTTTGCACTAGATGCCTTTTGCACATTGTGCCCACTTATTGGTAATACTGCCATGATTTGTTTTAGGTATGAGGTGGGGTGAGGGGGGGGGGATTAGTTTTTAGTTTTGTTGTTGTATCTGTTATTTTGCAGCATATTGAGTGTACTCTGGTGTCCTTATGAGTATCTTCTCTGTTGCTTTGTGTATGTTATTTTGATGTCCTATGGTTGGGTATCCGAGAGCTCCTGTTGGCTAATATTGCCCTATACTCTTAGATGTGTACCTGTACTATAGTCTCTTGGAACACAACAGTGCTTAACTTCCACATTAGGAGTTATCTGGTATTTCAATTTTTAAAAGAGTATCACTCTCACATATGTATCTTCCAGTAGATGCATTTGATGGGGGGTTCTTCTAAAAAAAACATGGATAGGACATCACTATCATTTCAAATACACCAACTATTCCAGAGAGTTGAGTCTCCAATACATAATTCCATTTTCTTTCAGTTATTGGCTTTGGAGTTGGACTCGGATGCTAACTATGTTAAAATTCATGCGGTTATAGACTCTTTGGAGGTGGTATTGGTTGGATTGTAACTTCCTCCTATATCATTTGTTAGGTCGTATATATACCATAGTGGCTCATTTAGTTGCCTACTCCACTATTAGTATTTTGATCCTGGGTGACTTCATTGTGGCTCCTGACCCTTGGATGGACAAAATGTCCCTGTGGGCATCTTCAAACTGAAATTAGCAGCTTGGTCAGAAGCCTCTCACTTTACCGATGTCTGAAGATGGAGGGATCCTTCCAGGAGAACGTACACTTGCAACTTGGCATCCTATAATACTTTCTCTTGCATTGATTTGGTGTATGCAGGCGAAGTCTGTCCTCTCTAGGGGCACCTTCAAACTGGAATTAGCAGCTTGGTCAGAAGCCTCTCAATTTACCGATGTCTGAACTTGGGTGTGATTTTAGTGCGGACTAAAAAAAGGGTCCTGCACCTTTTTGGTGTGAATGTGGTGTGATTTGAGCCATACTAAATGTATGGCTCAAATGTATGGCTCAAACAGAATTTGCATGTGATTTGCACAGTAATGCGGTGCGGTTCCTGTGCGAATCACATGCGGCATGCTGCACCACACAAGTGTGAACCCAGGCTTCAGGTCTGTTCTTAGCTAGTGGTTTATGCTATTGTTGATGATGTACTTGATGCCTCTAATACTTTCTCTGTATCCACTATATTAAAGTTTGATTGACCACTGAATGACTGGGCAGCCAACTTTAGGAAGATTCCTGGTGGTTCCAAACTTCTTCAATGTACGGATTGTGACTGTGCTCATTGGGACCTTCAATACTGCAGAAAATTTTCTATACCCTTCCCCAGATCTGTGCCTTGATACAATCCTGTCTCAGAGGTCTATGGATAATTCCTTGGACTTCATGGCATGGTTTGTGCTCTGACATGTACTGCTAACTGTGGGACCTTTTATAGACAGGTTTATGCCTTTCCTAATCATGTCCAATCAACTGAATTTCCCACAGGTGGACTCCAATCACGTTTTCATCCTTGAAACATCTCAAGGATGATCAGTGGGAACAGGATGAACAAGAGCTCAATTTTGAGTGTCATGGCAAAGACTGAATACTTATGTACATGCAGTTTTTTTTTTTCATTTTTTATTTTTAATAAATTGCAAAGATTTCAAAACAAACTTTTTTCATGTTGTCATTATGGGGTATTGTTTGTAGAATATTGAGGAAAAAAATTAAATTTAATCCATTATGGAATAAGGCTGTAACAACAAAATGTGGCAAAAGTTAAGAGCTGTGAATACTTTCTGGATATGTGTATATATATATATATATACAGTGGGGCAAAAAAGTATTTAGTCAGCCACCAATTGTGCAAGTTCTCCCACTTAACCACTTGCCTACCAGGCACTTATACCCCCTTCCTTACCAGGCCAATTTTCAGCTTTCAGCGCTGCCGCACTTTGATTGACAATTGCGCGGTCATGCAACATTGTACCCATATGAAATTTTGATCATTTTTTTCTCACAAATAGAGCTTTCTTTTGGTGGTATTTAATTGCCACTGGGCGCTTTACTTTTTGCGCTATAAATAAAAAAAGTGCAAAAAATTTGAAAAAAAATTTTTTTTCTTTGTTTCTATTATAAAATTTTTCAAACAGGTATTTTTTCTCCTTCACTGATGTGCGTTGATGAGGCAGCACTGATGGGCACTGATAGGCGGCACTGATGGGCACTGATAGGCAGCACTAAAGGGCACTGATAGGCAGTACTAATGAGGTGGCACGGATAGGCGGCACTGATAGACAGCACAATGAGGTGTGAGGTGTCGCATAGGAGGCACTAATATGCAGCACTGATAGGCGGCACTGATAGGTGACACTGATGATGGGTACTGATAGACGGCACTGACTGGCATCATGCTGGGCACTGATGGCACTGACTGGGCACAACCCCTGGGCACTGACTGGTGGCACTGACTAGCAGCACTGCTGGGCTGCACTGGTGGATGGCACTGGTGGGCACACTGGTGGGTGGGCACAGGTGGGTGGGCACAGGTGGGTGGCACTGGTGGGCAAGGTGGGTGGGCACAGGTGGGTGGCACTTCTGGGCACAGGTGTGTGTCACTGCAGAGTGGCAATGGGTGCACTGCTGGGCACAGGTGGGTGATCTGCTGGGCACAGGTGGGCGGAGCTAGTGGGCGCACTGCTGGGCACAGGTGGGTGGCACTGCTGGGCACCGATCATCAGGGCACTGATCATGTCCTGATGATCGGTGCCAACTGCCGGTTCTCGGCAGTACTTTCCTCACGATCTGACAGCGTGAGGAAAGTGCAGCCGAGAACCGGCACTTGCATTTCCCCTGTGATCAGCGTGTCATTGGACACCGCTGATCACGTGGTAAAAGGCCGCTGGGATCGGCCTTTTAACACATCACGTGATCAGCTGTGTCCGTAGGACACAGCAATCACGGAGATCGCCGGGTGCGCGCCCCCTGGGGCGCGCAGGAGAGCGCGTTCTGGGGGGACGTCATATGACTCCCCCCAGAACTGGCAGTGAAGCCGTCATTCGGCTATCTGCGGTCGGCAACTAGTTAAAAAGATGAGAGAGGCCTGTAATTGGCATCATAGGGAGACCTCAACTATGAGAGACAAAATGAGAAAAAAAAATCCAGACAATCACATTGGCTGATTTGGAAATAATTTATTTGCCAATTATGGGGGAAAATAAGTATTTGGTCACCTACAAACAAGCAAGATTTCTGGCTCTCTCAGACCTGTACCTTCTTCTTTAAGAGGTTCCTCTGTCCTGTGCACTCATTACCTGTATCAATGGCACCTGTTTGAACTTGTTATCAGTATAAAAGACACCTGTCCACAACCTCAAACAGTCACACTCCAAACTCCACTATGGTGAAGACCAAAGAGCTGTCGAAGGACACCAGAAACAAAATTGTAGACCTGCACCAGGCTGGGAAGACTGAATCTGCAATAGGCAAGCAGCTTGGTGTGAACAAATCAACTGTGGGAGCAATAATTAGAAAATGGAAGACATACAAGACCACTGATAATCTCCCTCGATCTGGGGCTCCACGCAAAATCTCACCCCGTGGGGTCAAAATGATCACAAGAACGGTGAGCAAAAATCCCAGGCCACACGGGGGGGGGACCTAGTGAATGACCTGCAGAGAGCTGGGACCAACGTAACAAAGGCTACCATCAGTAACACACTACGCCACCAGGGACTCAGATCCTGCAGTGCCAGACGTGTCCCCCTGCTTAAGCCAGTACATGTCCGGGCCCATCTGAAGTTTGCTAGAGAGCATTTGGATGATCCAGAAGAGGATTGGGAGAATGTCATATGGTCAGATGAAACCAAAATAGAACTGTTTGGTAGAAACACAACTCGTCGTGTTTGGAGGAGAGAGAATGCTGAGTTGCATCCAAAGAACACCATACCTACTGTGAAGCATGGGGGTGGCAACATCATGCTTTGGGGCTGTTTCTCCGCAAAGGGACCAGGACGACTGATCTGTGTACAGGACAGAATAAATGGGGCCATGTATCATGAGATTTTGAGTGCAAACCTCCTTCCATCAGCAAGGGCATTGAAGATGAAACATGGCTGGGTCTTCCAACATAACAATGATCCCAAACATACCACCCGGGCAACGAAGGAGTGGCTTCGTAAGAAGCATTTCATGGTCCTGGAGTGGCCTAGCCAGTCTCCAGATCTCAACCCCATAGAAAACCTTTGGAGGGAGTTGAAAGTCCGTGTTGCCCAGCGACAGCCCCAAAACATCACTGCTCTAGAGGAGATCTGCATGGAGGAATGGGCCAACATACCAGCAACAGTGTGTGCCAACCTTGTGAAGACTTACAGGAAACGTTTGACCTCTGTCATTGCCAACAAAGGATATATAACAAAGTATCGAGACAAGCTTTTGATATTGACCAAATACTTATTTTCCACCATAATTTGCAAATAAATTCTTTCCAAATCAGCCAATGTGATTGTCTGGATTTTTTTTCTCATTTTGTCTCTCATAGTTGAGGTCTACCTATGATGCCAATTACAGGCCTCTCTCATCTTTTTAAGTGGGAGAACTTGCACGATTGGTGGCTGACTAAATACTTTTTTGCCCCACTGTATATATTGTACGTGACCACCCTGCAGCAGGAAAACAGCTATAGGGTGGTCCTTAAGTGGTTAAAATACAATATCCATACCTCAATTTTAGGGGGAAACTACAGGGTTTTTTTCTTCAAGAGGTACCCACAGAAAATTAATTCCAGACCTAAAAGGACTAGTATGAATTTTGAGGTGGACCTCATGCTGTTTTTTTACACTATCCCCTTCCCCTGTTTACAAAGGCTGGCATCTGAATGTAATGGTGTGAATGAGTCACTGGTTGTTATAGCTCTGCCAGGAGCCTGAGCAGGACACTGTCACATTTAGCAGTGGTAGTATTACTGCTGTATCAACATTTATACTGTATATCTTGACCCAAAAGTCCAGATGTTCTTCCATCATGACTTGCTTTGCTAGGTCATACAATGCTTTGCTGCCACATCCATATAAATCTGAAAGATCTATCTCTTGAAGCCAATATTATAGATTGCACAAATATAGATTTTTATCTCTATAAACATCAGCATCCAACTATAATATACCTAGCTTTGATATGGCTTTTTGGAACTTTTGGGCCTTTGGAAATATTTCTAATATATTGGCTATAAACACTGAAAATAATGACTTTTTAATTTTTCAGGTCAGTTATGGAGCTACAGACCATTCTCTAACCAATAGATTCCTTTATCCTCATGTCTTCAGGACACTTCAAAATGACCATGTTCAATATATGGTTATAGTTAATTTGTTGAAACAGTTCGGCTGGACGTGGGTTGGAATATTGGCATCAAAAGATGATGAGGGAGACACAGTTGGGGACATGTTAACAAAGTTCCTGAATAGTAATGGCATTTGTGTTGAGTTTAAAATATCTATAGGACCTTATAAGCAGCGTGATAAAATCAGTGTGGACTATACAATTCAAAATATCATTACTTTGGTTATGAAATCCATTGCTACAGTTGTTGTAGTTTGTGGATCTTATCTAAGCGAGCCTGCACTTTTTATGTATCAGGATGCTTTCTATAATAAAACATTTATTTTTCCTCCTCCGTGGTCTCCCAGCCCTTCAATATATACTCCAATGATTGTATTTAATGGTAGCCTGGCTGTAGAACTATATCCAATAATCTTTCCTGGTAAAGAAAATTTTTTTGATGAAGTCGATAAGATGAAAAACTTAAACAATGGTAACAGATTCTCTAAATCTTTTATCACTTGCAAGGTGCATGTCTGCAAACAAAGAAAATAGAAATAAATCCATATTATGTTCAGCAACCTTTGGTAACATTGTCCTTAAATTCCGGTATCCAAATTTATTTAATTTTGTGTATCAAGGAACCCCTCCTCACATTTATTATACAGTAGAAGCCATGGCAAAAGCACTGCATGATATGAATCAGTTCTATAAAGGAAAACCTTATGAAAAGCAACATCGTTTTTACAGACATAAGGTAGAGTACATAACTTTTCTTTGGATTTAGGGGATGTACAAAATAATTTCATCCTGGAATTGATGATCACTTAAAATGTAATATACACTCTCTGGCCACCTTATTACGTACACCTTGCTAGTAGCGGGTTGAACCCCCTTTTGCCTTCAGAACTGCCTTCATTCTTCGTGGCATAGAATCAACAAGGTGTTGGAAATATTCCTCAGAGATTTTGGTCCATATTGACATGATAGCATCAAGCAGTTGCTGCACATTTTTTCAGCTGCACATCCATGATGCAAATTTCCCATTCCACCACATTCCAATGGCGCTCTATTGGATTGAGATCTGGAGACTGTGGAGGCCATTGGAGTGCAGTGAACTCATTGTCATGTTCAAGAAACCAGTTTGAGATGATTTGAGCTTTGTGACATTATCCTGCTGGAAGGAGCCATTAGAAGATGGGAACACTGTAGTCATAAAGGGATGGACATGGTCAGCAGCAATACTCAGATAGGCCGTGGCGTTTAAACATTGCTCAATTGGTACTAAGGGGCCCAAAGTGTGCCAAGAAAATCTTCCCCACACCATGACACACCAACACCAGTCTGAACCGTTGATACAAGGCAGGATGGATCCATGCTTTCATGTTGTTTATGCCAAATTCTGACCTTACCATCTGAATGTCCCAGCTGAAATCCAGACTCATCAGACCAGGCAACGTTCTTCCAATCTTCTATTGTCCAATTTTGGTGATCCTGTGCAAATTGTACCCTTCGTTTCCTGTTCTTAGCTGACAGGAGTGGCACCCATGTGGTCTTCTGCTGCTGTAGCCCATCTGCTTCAAGGTGGGATGTGTTGTGCATTCGGAGATGGTATTCTTAATGCCTTGGTTGTAACGAGGGGTTATTTGAGTTACTGTTGCCTTTCTATCATCTGGAACCAGTCTGCCCATTCTCCTCTGACATCAGCAAGGCATTTTCCTCCACACAACTGCTGCTCACTGGGTATTTTCTCTTTTTCTGGCCATTCTCTGTAAACCCTAGAGATGGTTGTGTGTGAAAATCCATTACATTATCAGTTTTTGAAATATTCAGACCAGCCCATTTGGCACCAACAACCACGCCACGTTCAAAGTCACTTACATCCCCTTTCTTCCCCAATCTGATGCTCGGTTTGAACTTCAGCAAGTCATCTTCACCACATTTAGATGCCTAAATGCATTGAGTTGTTGCCATGTGATTGGCTGATTAGCAATTTGTGTTGCCAAGTTATTGCACAGGTGTACCTAATAAAGTGGCTGGTGAGTGTATATTGTAGCAGTGTTTGGCCGGCACTGGAATGGTTTGTGGGTGAATCTGCCATAACAGAAGGGAGATGCCAAATATTCTTTCCTAGAGGAGAGAGGCCTCAGTGTGAACTGTAACTCAGAAGAAAAACAAGAAGCCTGTCATTGGTAGTGCTAGTTCCCTGGTCATCAGGCTGATCCTCTATGGTATTTGGACTTGATCCAATGACTCTTAGATATAGAGTTCAAACCCTTTGGACTCTAAATTCAATGATCAAATATTGATAGGACCTCCCACTAAGTGCTTGGCAGTGCTAACCCTACATGTTTTTTTAGTGGTGACACAAGGACATTTAAACCTTTTGATAAAGTACCAGTTAATAATTGCACACACAATTTAAAAGAAGAATAACATTTCACTTAACCCCTCGCCTACAGGGCACTTCTACCCCCTTCCTGTCCAGGCCAATTTCCAGCTTTCAGCGCTGTCACACTTTGAATGACAATTGCGCAGTCATGCAACACTGTACCCATATGAAATTTGTATCATTTTTTTGTGACAAATAGAGC